GAGATAGTGATGATACCAATTTCATAGAATGACAACACAAGAGGAAACTTGGCCAAATATGGTTGTGCCAGAAATTTTAAAGGATTTTTCTATTAGTCTCACCTACCTGCTCTTTGCTCAAACACTGCAATGTTCTCTTCTTCAGGCATTTATCTAATTGCTGTTGAGGGTTATTAAAATTTTCTTCTTCTCAGGCAGTGTATTCTCTCATGATGTCTGGTTCTTTTGCTAATTATCTTATGAAAATTAGACTTCTTATACACAATTACAATTTGACCAAATTCCACTTGTCTTGATTATTGTAGTAGAACAGTTGCAACCAGACACACTAGTTAAATATCAGGAAGACTAAAGTCCTAATTTTCCACTTTGTCCCCCAGTCACTGATCAAATTCCTTCCTTTCAGCTGAGCATTGTGATGAAAACTACCATTTTCATCACAAAGGCAAAAACCAACCATAACGTTACTAACATCATTACTTCTTCCTATCTATTGCTACAACCCAAATTTCACTACTCACATCCTTCATATATTTTTTGTTTAAATTCACTTATGGGGCATGGGCTACACTGGTTGACGAGCCTGTCCCTAAGCTGCTTTGAGAAGGTGGCGGTGAGCTGCCTTTTTGAACCGCAGCAGTCCATATGCTGTTGGTTGACCCACAATGCTCTTAGGGAGGGAATTTCAGGATTATGACTCAGCAAGTGAAGGAACAGCAATACATTTCCAAAGTCAGGATGGTGAGTGTCTTGGAGGGAACTTGCAGGGTGGTGTTCCCACGCATCTGCTGATCTTGTCCTTTGAGGTGGAAGTGGTCGTAGGTTTGGAAAGCACTGTCTAAAGTAGCTTTGGTGAATTTCAGTAGTGCATCTTTTAAATAGTACATCATGTTGCTACTGAGCATTGGTGGTGGAGGGAGTGGATGCTTGTGGATGTGGTGCCAATCAAGTGCACTGTTTGTCAAACTTACTTAGTGTTGTTGGAGCTGCACCCATCCAGGCAAGTGGGGATCATTCCATCAAATACCTGACTTGTGCCTTGTACATGGTGGACAGGCTTGGAGAAGACAGGAGGCGAGTTAACTTTTGCAGAATTCCCAGTCTCTAACTTACTTTTTTAGCCACTATATTTATATGGCGAGTCCAGTTGAGCTCCTGGTCAATGGTAACTCTAAGGATGCCGATTGTAGGTGTTTCAGTGATGGTAACACAATTGAATCACAAGGGATAATGGTCAGATTATCCCTAATTGGAAATGCTCATTGCCTAGCATTTGTGTGGTGTAGATGCTACTTGCCACTTGTCAGACCAAGCCTGGATATGGTCCAGATAGTGCTGCATTTGGGCATGTATCTCGGTAGTCATGAATGCACAATATTCAGCACCAATCATGAGCAAATATCCCCACTCACCACCTTTATGATGGAGGGAAGGTCAATGATGAAGCAGCTGAAGATGGTTGGGCCTAGGACACTACCTTGAGGAACTCCTACAGAGATGTCCTGGAGCTGAGATGATTGACCTCCAATAACCATGACCATCTTCCTATGTGTCAGGTACAACTCCAAACCATCGGACAGTTACCCCGGTACCCACTGATTATCATTTTGTTAGGGCTCCTTGATACCACATTTGGTCAAATGCGGCCTGGATGTCAAGGGCTGTCACTCTCACCTCACTTCTGAATTTGAGCTCTGTTGTCCATGTTTGAAACAAGGCGACAATGACATCTGGAGCTGTGTGGCCCTGGCAGAACCCAAACTGAGTGTCACTGAGCAGGTTATTGATGAGTATGTGCTGCTTGATAGCACTGTTGGTGACACTTCCACCACTTTACTGATGATTGAGAGGAGATGGATCAGGCAGTAAGTGGCTGGGTTGGATTTGTCCTGCTTTTTTTTTTGTGTACAGGACATACTTGGGTAATTTTCCACATTGTTGGGCAGATTCCAGTGTTGTAATTGTACTGGAACAGCTTGGCAAGGAGAGCAGGAAGCTCTGGAACACAAGTCTTCAGTCCTCTTGCCAGAATGGTGTCAGGGCCCACAGCCTTTGCACTATCCAGTGCCTCCAACCATTCTTAATACCATGTAAAGCAAAATCAAATTGGCTGAAGGCTGGAATCTGTAATGCAGGAGACCACGGGAGGAGCTGAGGATAGGTCATCCATTTGGTACTTGTGACTGATGATTGCTGCATATGCTTTAGCCTTATCTTTTGCACTTGGGTTGTACTCTTCAATAATTGAGTTTGGGGATATTTGTGGAGCCTCCTCCTCCAGTGAGTTATTTAATCATCTACCACCATTCAAGATTGGACGTGGCAGGACTCAGAGCTTAGATCTGATCTGATCTTTTGGTTGTGAGATCACTTAACACCGCCTATCACTTGCTGCTTACATTGTTTGGCACGCAAGTACTCCTACTTGCTATCTTCACCAGGTTGATACTTTATTTTTAGGTATGCCTGGTGCTGTACCTGGCATGCCCTCCTGCATTCTCCTTTGAACCAGGGCTGATCCCCTGGCTTAATGGTGATGGCTGAATGGGGGATAGGCCGATCGCACAAGGCTACAGGCTGTGCTGGAGTACAATTCTGCTGCTGTTGATGGACCACGTTGCCTCATGGATGCCTAGTCTTGAATTGCTCAATCTGTTCAAAGTCTGTCCCATGTAGCATGGTGACAGTGCCACACAAAACAATTGAGAATACCCTCCATGTGAAGGCAGGACTTCATCTCCATAGCCGTCACTCTTACCAATACTACATCTGCAGCTGGCAGATTGGAAAGGATGAGGTCAAGTCTGCCTTTCCCTCTTTTTGGTTCCCTCACCATATGCTACAGAACCAGTCTAGCAGCTATGTCCTCTAGGACCTGACCAGCTCGATCAGTAGTGCTGCTGCTGAGCCAATGATCATGAAAAGCCCACACATAGAATACACTTGCAGCCTCAGTGTTTCCTTCAAGTGTTGTTCAACATCATCTGCGGGAGGACACTACATGGTAATCAGGAGATTTCCTTGCCCATGTTTAAAGTTGTGAGACTTGACGGGGTCCAGAGTCGATGTTGCAAACTCTCAGGGCAATCCTTCCTGACTGTATACCGCTGAGCTGCCACCTCTTCTAGCTCTGTCCTGCCAGTGGGATATCCAGAGATAGCAATGATGGCCATTTCAGAGTCATCCGCATTGCTGTCTTGGAGTCACGTTTAGGCCAGACCAGATGAAGACAGCAGATTTCCTTCCCTGAAGGATATTAGTGAGCCAGAGGGGGATTTTCTGAACCTTTCAAATTCTGAAAGGATGGTTTCATCAGTAGATTCTTAATTCCAGATTTCTTCATTGAATAAAAATTTCACCATCTGCCATGGCAGGATTCATACCCAGGTCCTCAACCATTATTTGAGTTTCTGGTTTAATAGCCTAGGTGATAATAACGAGTCCATCACCTCCCCTTAATTACATCTGCCCTCACGGATGTCCAGTTCACTGACAACCTTCCCCCCCCAACATGTTAATCTAAATATATTCAGAATCTCCCACCACGATCTCACAGAACTCTACATTCATCTGACTCCTGCCTTCCTTTAACCACTGAGGCCTATCATTCAAAGTTCCATTCAAAATCCCAAGATCTTTGGATCTTCCCATCGAAGTTTTAGTCAACATTCCTGATTACCTCAATATTTAACTCCATACAATGTTATGGCTCTTAAGCACTTTGGCACATTTTGCTGAAATCAAGTTTCATAAATGCAATTTTAATACTGACTGTTCTAAACAACGTCAACATGCACAATCACACGTGATAACACCACAACAAACAAAGGATTTCTTTTCTACGATAGATAAAGCAGCCCAGGAAATATATAATGGATATTAGCAGAACTCAACTGAAGATTTTAAAAAAGGGCAGCACAGTGGTTAACACTGCTGCCTCATTGCGCCAGGGAGTCAAGCTCAATTCCAGCCTCAGGTGACTGTGTAGAGTTTGCACATTCTCCCCGTGTCTGTGTGGGTTTCCTCCCACAGTCCAAAGATGTGCAGGTTGGTTGTATTGGCCATGCTAAATTGCCCATAGTGTCTACAGTGGGAAATGCCGGAACAGGGTAGGTGAGTCTGGGTGTGATGCTCTTCAGAGGGTTGGTGTGGATTTGATCGGCTGAATGGCCTGCTTCCACACTGTAGGGATTCTGTGATGTGTACACAATTTCTAATAATAGCGCATCAGCTACATCTACATGAAAGGATACCACCTGAGGGGAGTTATGTTGACAGTCCCAAATAATACAGCTAAAGTCAACATCAACAAGCTCATCAAACACCCCTCCTAAAAAAGGCAGGGAAGAAATAATTCGACATCTCGTGGTTCCTTGACAGATTCTGTAAACAATCCGAAGACTGCGTCTGGTTTCCCGAGTGTGTGTTTTTTTTTTACACACAACCTACTTAAGAACACTATTCGAAGCGTCAATAACTGAAAATTATCACTGGTCTCCATTACTTTTCCAGTTTGGCTTTTCTTGTTTGCGTAAAAAAAAGCTCCACATCCCTACGGCAGGATGCCAAAAGAAAAGCTAACGCAATTCATTAACCTCCGATTAAAAAAAAAGCCATTTTGAATTGAGGTGTTGCGCAGAAGTTTGGCATTTTGCTGGCTGGGTTAAAGACGGGGCTCCTTACAAGTTGGAGGCGTCCGTCCGTTAGTGGCCGGTTCCTGGGACTGAGAGAGACAAAGCGGCAATGTATTAATGAACAGAGTGACCACTTTCCCGGAGGATTGATCTACACAGCGAGGCTGGCTCACGGTTAGGCGCCCGCGGGTTGATGCTCTGACCGGCCTGGATCACTCCTAGGCCGCTCACCGAACACAGGGCCTTACACAAACGGCCGGCGGCCTGACAGTGCCGCGAAAGCCGAAGTTCGCCCCCACCTCTCCGAAACGCCGCTATAGGAGGGGGTTTGTGCCGCGGCCCAGGACTCCCACCGCTTCCACTTACACCACAGTCCTGGCGATGATCCACGACACCATTGAGACAGCCACACTAGCAATCCCTCACTCACCGCCGCTGCCGCCACTCTCACTCCGACTCCGTCAACCTCCTTTCACAGCGGCCTTAGGCTTACCCGCCTCCTATTGGTCAACCAACACATCACCATGGTTACGACTTGCAATGTCCGGCGCTGATTGGGCAGACGGGCTGTCAATCGACCCGCCTCTCTACCTCCTGCAATGCCGCCTGACTGCCAGAGGGGGCAGGCTGGAGATGAAGCCAACCTCAAGCTCTCCATCTCAATGTCAGTGAAGTCAAACCCAATACAGACCAGAAGATGCCCCGGAACCCCACACAGTGTGGAGCATGTCATTTCAGGAGAAGTTTAATTGGCTTACACTTCCTTTAATTTTCAATTTGAAATGCTTTGCCCCTCAGCCGGTTATGCCTGACGTGCAATATGTACTGTGATTTTTAAATGTCGTTTAGTTGCTGAGGAACACCCAAAACAAGAGAGTTATATTTAATTTTATTGCACGTAGTGTACTTTTTAAAGTGGAATTGTCATGTGAACATAGAAAATAGGAGTAGGAATAGACCGCTCAGCCCTTCGATCTTGCACTGCCAATCAACGTGCTCATCATCAGAAAGTGGAGTCCCGGGTAGACAGAATAGTGAAGAAGGTCTTTGGTATGCTTGCCTTTATTTGGTCAGTGTATCAAGCATAGGAGTTGAAAGGTCATGTTGTGGCTGTACAGGACATTGTTAGGTCCCTATTGGATTGCTGCATACAATTCTGGTCTCCCTACTGTAGGAAGGTGTTGTGAAACTTGAAATGATTCAGAAAATATTTACAAGAATGTTGCCAGGGTCAGAGGGTTTGAGCTACAGAGAGAGGCTGAATAGGCTGGGGCTATTTTCCCTGGCGCGTCAGAGGCTGAGGAGTGACCTTGTAGAGGTTTATAAAATCATGAGGGGCATGGATAGGGTGAATAGCCAAGGTCTTTTTTTCCAGAGTAGAGGAGTCTGAAACTAGAGGGCATCGGTTTAAGGTGAGAGGGGAAAGATTTAAAATGGATCTGAAGGGCAACTTTTTCATGCAGAGGGTGGAGCGTGTGTGGAATGAGCTGCCAGAGGAAGTGGGGGAGGCTGGTACAATTGTAACATGTAAAAGGCATCTGAGGGAAATGGGCCAAATGCTGGCACAGTGGACTAGATTTATTTAGGATAGCTGGGCGGTATGGATGAGTTGGACTGAAGGGTTTTTTTCCGTGTTGTATGTCTCCATGACTCTATATGACGATCCATCTCAATACCCTTTTAGTCCCAACAACTACATCAAACTCCTCCTTGACACATTCGATTTTTTAGCCTCAACCATTTGCTGGAGCAGAGAATTCCACAGGCTCACCATTGTGGGTAAAGAAACTTCTCAGTTCTAAATGGCCCAAGCCATATCCTTAGGCTGTGAACCCTGGTTCTAGACTTGCTCATTAATCGGGTACACCCTTCCTGTGTTTACCCTTTCTGGTCCTGTTAGAATTTTATAGGTCTGTATGAGAATCCTCCTCATTCTTCTAAACTCTAGTGAATATAATTTCTGTGATTTTTCTATGAACTTTTTAAACTACATTCCAAATGGTAAGTTATTTTCTCCTCTGAGAGGTGTTATTAATTTACAGTGACAACCTCCCATTTTGGTTTAAAAAATATATAATTCTTATATATCATTCTTAATTATTTAGCTTCCTTCAGAATTTAAATCTTACACTCACACTTGTCATTTCAAAATCTCCCTTTGATGGCCTCCTACCTTAACTCTGTATAAACTCTATTATCTAAAGTCTTTGTCTCATATCTTGCCCAGAATTAAATGTAGGTGCTTATCATCCCTACCTGTGATAAGCAACATTGGCATTAATTGATTAAAATCATAACACCAATTTTTATTTGGAGTTTCATATGACACAATACAAGAGTAATTCAAAACTAAGAAAATAGTGGGAAAATTTCAATATTGGTGATCAGATTGAATTGCTCGCAAGTGGAGAATTAAATAGGTAATAAAAACATAAGCATGTTGGGAAGTTGGTTCCTACCCATCAACTTTTAAATTTTACTCAAGCAAGACAATGGGTGGGCAGCCATGTGTCAAGCAGCAGGCAGTCAATCTACACCCAATAGGTGGACTGGCATCTTGCCTACATTGAGTTAGGAAGCTTTGTATCCTCTCTGCTTTGCAAGTTTAACTGTTGCCAACCAGGCATCCCAAGCAGCAGCAGCAGCAAAGAAAGAAAAACGCAAATACCTTCACAGGAGCCATTTCTCTAGGACCTACCTAAGCTGGCAACCTTGTGGTCTTGGTTGGACCCTTCTTGGAAGAACATCCCCACTGGGTATGGAGTGTCAGAAATAATCGATCACAAGATCAATTGATGTTGATTGCCAGCAGAGACAGCAGAGTCATCCTTTCCAACATGGTTTCTATTTCATCCGAGCCCTTCGGCAATCTGGTGAATGATGATGACTTAAGTGACCACGAAGGCAATCACAATGAGAACAGGAAAGAACCGCGACAGGACAGCATTATAGCCACATATGAAGAGCTTGAAGATAATGTCTACGCTGTTGAATGGTCCTCAGCTGATCCCTGCTTATTTGCATCTTTAAGACATACTTAAAGAATGGTGATAAACCAGGTACCATGAGCATTAAACTTGTCATTATGCAACAAAACAAAGCCCTTTTGGAGGAGTGGGGTGTTAATATTCTGACTTGCTTGGGGTAGAGGAAAGCCCTTGGCATGTGGTAGACCTAGAAGTATGGGTTTCTCTGTGTGCTGTGAAATATTAACACCATAGCATGTGTCTTTTTTTGTTGACTTGTTCCAAATTTAGAAGTCATCCTGATGTCCGGCCTGGCTTCCTGTTGGGCAGGACATGCTCTGGAGAAATCCAAATGGACCAGGTGTATCCAATCCTTGAACCTGGAGTTAGTAGAGGTCTGCAACATTGGCATGTTGGATGAGAGCCAAATTTAAAATTCAATTCATAAAGTGTGGCTCAGCCTCACCTCTGAATCAGAAGGTTGCGTGTCAAAATTTCATTTCAGAGATTCGAGCATACATTATGGTGCTGGGGAGTGCTGCACTGTTTGAGGTGCAGTCTTTCACATGAGAAATTAAGTCTAGATTCTCTCTGCTCCCTATATTTAAGATAAAAGATCCTATAGCATGCTTTCAAAGAAAAGCAAACCACACTATTCTAGCCAATAATTATCCTTCAATGAACAGCACTAAAACAGACTATCTGGTTTTTGCCTGTTTGAGTTTGCTGTGTCTAAATTGGCTGCTGCATTTTCAACATTGTCTAGACAATGTTTTAAGGTGTCCTGAAAGGCACTATACAAATGCAAGTCTCTCCTTTCTTTCAAATCCCTTCATATTTTCACCTACATTATCTCTGCAGTCTCCTTTAGCCCAATTAATCCTGCACATGAAACACAAATGTCCTTTTCCCCATTTGGCCTGATGTGCTTCTATCTCCTGTCACATCATTATTAATGGCAAAATATGCAACCTGGATCCTCTACACTTGAATTGCCTCTCTAAAACCATCTCCCTCTCCACTTCTGGAGGTGAGTTCTTGATGTGGCCTCCTCTACATTGGGGAAACCAAGCGGAGGCTTGGAGACCGCTTTGTGGAACAGCTACACTCGGTTTGTGACAAACAATTGCATCTCCCAGTCGTGAACCATTTCAACTCCCCCTCCCACTCCTTGGACGACATGTCCATCCTGGGCCTCCTCCAGTGCCACAACGATGCCACCCGAAGGCTGCAGGAACAGGACCTCATATTTCGCTTGGGAACCCTGCAGCCCAATGGTATCAATGTGGACTTCACAAGCTTCAAAATCTCCCCACCCACGACCTCAACCCAAGACCAGCCCAGCTCATCCCCGCCTCCTCAACCTGTCCATCTTTTCTCCCACCTATCCACTCCTCCCACCTCACTGACCAACCCCCACCCCCACTTCCTACCTACCAGCCTCATCCCCACCTCCTTGGCCTGTCCATCTTCCCTCCCCACCACCCACCCCTCCCTCCCAACTGACCAACCCCCATCCCAACTCTCTACCTACACTCACCTTTACTGGTTCCATCCCTGCCTCCTTGACCTGTCCGTCTTCTCTCCACCTATCTGCTCCCTTATCCACCTTCCATCATCGCCTCCCTCTCCCTCTATTTATTTCAGAGCCCCCTTCCCCTCCCATTTCTGAAGAAGGGTCCAGACCCGAAACGTCAGCCTTCCTGCTCCACTGATGCTGCCTGGCCTGCTGGGTTCATCCAGCTCTACACCTTGTTACCTCTCCTTTTAAAATTCATCTCTTCAATAAGCTTTAGATCACCACTATTTGATTTCCTAGCTCAAACATTTGTTTTCTTTAATAAAAACAGAAAATGCTTGGACAATCTCAGCCTCTCCACTGGGCAACTTCTCACCCTCAGTAATTTGAACCTCTATCTCAACTCAACATGCTCCTTCTCCTCATAGTTCATTGCCTTCGTATCCATCCTCTAATCGCTCCCCCAATATAAACCTATACTCAAGACACCTTTATGACTTCTCAAATGGCCTCATTACTCCCCATTAAGGCCATCTCTCATCCCTTCTTTGCACTCATCTCTATCCAAATCCCTCTTTCCCCTCCCAGTACTACTTCCTTTTGCGTCCTCTCTCCCAATGCACTTACAAATGCACTTTGTTGTCATGTAATGAAATAAATTGGAAAGCATGTATATTTTTGAAAAAAAGTTTCTTAACTAACCAAATTGATTTTCAAAAGTTTATACATGACTAGACATAACATTTTGCGCTGAGGAAATAATTTCAAAGCACAACATGAAAAACTCCTGTGTCAAGGTTTTGTAACAAGATATCACAGCGACTTAAAAGTCTTTCCTGTGTAATAACAAGTCCTCTTTAACAAATGCCAAAATGTTCCAATGATCCATTAAAGTATACGTTCTTTTAGTAAAGTCATTCTTCTTTGACATATCGTAATATAATCGAGCGAATTACTAACTACAGTAATTCTACCCCAGTGTAATCAGTATAATTGAGATATGGCTGCACTTCAA